CCGAATGGAGGGTCATAGGTCCCCTCCTTGCCATCGGATGCGGGCACCCATTAGGAAAATAGGCGGTAATTAGTTTTAAAGAAAAGAAAGCGCAGGTCGGTATCCCGTTATGGGACCACTGCCTGCAGGTTGCAATTATTATCACGACAGGATTAAACGACAGGGGCAAGATGCGAAAGGTCTGAGTGTGCAGTGACTAGCGATGTTTAGTTTATCGCTCCACTCTTTTCCTTTATTTTAACTTTAATTTAATTTATTTTATTATTCCCTATGTAGCATCATGTTCGCGTTCGGTGACCGAACCCGAACGTTCGGGACCGAACGCGAACGAGCGCGGAAACTCTCCGAACACGAACATAAAAAAAAAAAAAAAAAAAAAAAAAAAAAAAAAAAAAAAAAAAAAAAAAAAACGTTCTTCAAAAAATCTAGAAAACATATATGTTATGTAAAATAATAATACAAACAACTTTTGACTTGGAGGTATGGTCAAATTCGTAACCAAACTTGAGTTAAAAATGAAAAACTTTTTTTTTTTTTTTTTTTTTAATATGTTCGGCCGAACACCCGAACATGTTCGGACGTTCGAAAAAGCTCCGAACATGTTCAATGTGCTACACAGATTATTCCCAAGATTCACAGGATATTGATAAGCCAAAACTAAGGCTATCTTGAACTCTCCGCTCAGAGCATGGGGATCGCAGTGTAGTAAAAACCTATAAAAGAGGGGAAAACTAGGCTACTGGGCGACTCTTAGTGTGAGGGTACTTGCGAACTAGCTCGCTGCATTGGCGCCGCTAGCTAGGGGCCAAAGGCTGGAGTAGTAGAGACAGGCGTTAAGTCATCCGAAGTGCGTACTCCTGGGGTCAGAACTCTGGCTATTCAAGACGCGGCTATGGCTTTGCATGGGTATAGACTCTGCTACGGGTACCACCAGATTCGGTGGAAACCCATGTTCGAGGAGGGGCCTTGGATCACGACTATACTTAACTACGACGGGGGAGACGAGATGAGACTGAGGATCAACGTGGAAGGAGGAAAAGAGGTGGAGATGCGGACTAATGGGAAGCTACAGGACGCTATCATTGAGACGAAATATCGTGTGGAGAGGCGTTGCCGGAGGAACGGCGTGACGGCTAAAATGCAGGTAACGGTCTCATATCATGAACACGGCGGACCTGGAACAAGCCCACATGGACAAGGACTCAGGTGGGGAGAGTGAAATGAGTGAAGCAGGGGATCGGGAAACGGACCTCAGATCCTGGAATAGACCAGGCGCGATCCAGAAGCACCACCGGGCGGTGAAGCCAGTGGAAGAGGGACCCGAGGCCAACTCTCGATAGCCAACGCCCCGAGGCCGGGGGACGAGTGAGAAGCAGAGCACAGGGAAGAGGCATCTGTGAGAGGGCACGCGAGAGAGAGAGAGAGGGAGGCTGCGCGAATGAGTAGGTCGCGACCTTGCTAGATACGGTTGATGTCAACTGCTGCTTCCACGCTCATGCGCTGCGTCTAGTGTCTACCGAGCGCTGCAGGTCTTCAAGGGGCCAATTTTTCGAGACGCGATAGCTGGCTCTTGAGGTGGATACACGTGGGCAGAGAAGGTCAACGAGAGAGAGAAAAGGCACGCTAAAAAGGAACGCACGTGCGGGTGGGAGAAGCTGACGTCAACCGATGTGCGCACGCTCATTGATGTCCTGCTCCCACTGCAGTGATGGAAAAGACAATAGAGAGGTCCCGCCAGAAATGGCAGGGGTAGTGGTCATCAAGAGAGAGGGTACTTGTGTGTGGCATAACAAGGGTCACCATGAGATCTGCTAGCCGCGCGCTAACCATGGCTCCTCCACCGTTTTGAGCACAGATCGGTGGTTCTTCGTCTGTATGAATAACTGCAGTCGCTAGCTGGCCAGTGTGTGGTTGGTGAAAGGCCGAGTCGGTTCCAGTGCAGGTAATCGTATTAGTAGTCAACCAGAAGCTGACATCATCATCTCATCTCTGTCTGGCTTTTACCCCCCCCTCTCCTCTCGTCAGATGATCGGCATAACCTGTGAGCGTGTTTTCTCCTCGTGCAAACTGGTGAGGCATGCGGTGAAAGGCTCACGACCCATCCAACGCGTAAAAGACTGATAGTAGTCTCAGTGACGCTGGCCGCGCTTAGAACAGGCTGGTATGAAGGGGGAGAATAGTAGCCCCAAAGTCAAAGGGGAGAGGGTTGATTGCTTCTTGAGGATGATATCACTTACCTAATAGACACGCTTGTTACTGTGTCCGCTCGTCTTGTCGCCTGTGCATGATCTTCAACCTGTTGATATACGCGAACCTATTGATCGAGTTAGTTAGTAGAAGGCGATCAGCTATCACAGAGCTTTCGTCTCAGTGTTAGTCCTACTTAGGTAGGCAGTTCGTTTTCCACAGGGCGTTACCCACTTCGGTCTGGCTTCTTTCTGCACGAGCAGGAGAGGACGTCTGAGGGCCTAAGATGGAGGATCAAGAAAGACGTCTGAGGAAGAAGGACATTTCGCCGCTAGCTGCAGACAGTGAGGCGGTTAACTGATGTCATTATTAACGGTCTTCGGAGCATACCTTTGCCAACGCCTCGGATGAATCCCCAGATAAGATGGTGGTGATTATGAATAGTTTTCTTTTCTTTTAAAGTTAATTTAGTTTAAATTTTCTTTTAAACAGGATAATTGGTTTGGTTACTTGGCGCTGACTGGTTTGGTTGTGACGTGAAAGGGGTTGGCCCCCGCTGTAGGCTGCATAAACGGGTGATCTGTGGCCGCACCTTGTAACTGCGACTAAAGGCCAACTGGCATCAGAGAAAGTCCTACATACGAGTGGCTGATCTAAATGATTGTAAGATTGAGGGAGCGAGGTTTTCCGCAAATAGGCACAGCTTCACGTTCTACTGTTTGGAAGTACTATTCGTGTTGAGTTGCTTACTCGATTGCTAGTCAATTCTAAAGAGTTGCACTGTTCTTGTGTTATATGCCTAATAACAAATCTCGTAGAACAACTGATTGATTTTGGTCCACCCCTCTTTTCGTGAACACACGAGCGCTCGAATGTGTTTGTGTACATGTGTACATTTGATCAAACACCTGTTAGTTAATCATAAGAATTCTTTTGTGGCCTGTGTTTAGTTGAGCACGAGTTTACGTGAATATGCATGTACCCGTGTGAACTGATGAATGCTTAATAGTGTGTGTTTGCAAGTCTGAGGACACCGCATGCAGGCGGTTGTTCGAGTATACTGGTCCATTATTGGACTCAATGCACGAGACCGCCTGCACGAGAAAACTCAGTGGTAATCTTGGTTATGTTTAGTGGTTATGTCTCTCCTGAATGGATGGGGAAGAAAATGGCAGTAATGAGGAAAGTCTTTTACATTCTTGTTAAGTTTTTACTTGATGGGGATTGATTGTCCACTCGTTCAGTTTTAGAGTGTCTCGGCTCAGAAAAGAGTGATTTGATCTTTGCATCATGGTTGGCTGAATCTCAACCATGTCGAGTGGGTTCTCGCTGAG